AAAAGGACACGGAAGCAGCGGCTGGTCCTGCCCTGCACCCCCAAAAGCTCAGCCCCTCCGCAGGCAGCGGTGCAGAATCAGCAGCCCTCGCGGCGCTGGCCTTGCTCTGAAGGGTTTGATGTGCTCTTGTGTTGGGAGCAAATCCTTTGGTGTTTAGGAGAGTAACCAGCCCCTGCAGTGCCTCAAAACAGCCTCCTACTCCCTGTGTGTGTGTGTGAATATATAAAAACACCCATCTGGCCAATCTGTACTGGAACTTTGGGCAAAAAACAGTCTCACTTGCCCGAGCTCTTTCAGTTCTAGGGAGGCACTGGCCTCACAGTCACTGGGCAAAGCTGAGGGTGCTGCACGACAGGGAGGGTTTCATCGTTCTGCCCTAGCAGGGCTGAAGCTTCAGAATCAGCACAGTCTGGACCTAGGGAGTGACAGAAGGTACCCAGTGTGTTCCTAATAGAGAAAATGTGCAAGAATGTGCCTGGGTTTAGTTTGGCCAGTTCTTGGTTGTGCAAGAACCTTAGGCAAACTTTGATGGAGACCCTGCTGCTGCTGTTAGCAAGAAATCACTGGGAATGAAACTCGGTGCGAGCGTCCACGGCGCGGGTCTGCAGGCAGGGAGTGCAGGGAAAGCTGCATTTCTTTATCTGCTTGGAGTGTTTTCTGCTTCAGCAGGGCCTGATTGACACAGTTGAGCTCTAGAGCTGCTTGCTGCTGCTGAGCAGAAGGAGAAGCTGAACTGCCCTTGGTGCAGGAGCCGGTGAGGGAACCGAACTGCACCTGCAACCTGGGCACTCAACAGCCAGGCTCCTAGGGCAACTCTTGCAAAAGCAACACCAGGCAATTGAGGAAACCACAACAAACAGCAAGTGGGTTTACACTGAGCAGACAGGGAAGGGGCAGTAATAAAGAAAAATCACAAACACACCCAAGCGTTAAGCGTTCCTGGGTCCTCAGACCGATGTCAAATTCCTTAGTGCTGACAAACACTTTCAGTGTATGTGAACGCAGTCTCTACTGTAATGAAACATAAACACACCTGCTGCTCTGCTTAGCCCCTTCCAAGCCTTTTCCCTTCTCTCTTCCTGCGTGGTTAGTCCAAGCTCTGTAACTACTGAAATGCCACCAGGAGAAAATGCAAGACATGGGTCCTTTGGCTGATACATTACTTTAATAAAGCACACAATTGTGTTCTGAACTGAGAGCATCAAATAGAAAACAATTATTTTATGAACTCAGAAATCACCTGGGTCTTGTCAAAAGAGTGGCAAGTATTAGTTCAACTGCTGTAACGTTCAGAAGTATTTCCATATCCTGTCTTGCTTTCGCAAAATTAATAAATTGTGAAAGTAACTGTGTAGCCTGTAGAGATGGCAGTAATACTTATATATTATATAGTATACAAGGAGCATAATTAGTACCTTCAGTTTGTCTTATCGCAATCTGTGACCAAATCTCGCTTCGGACGTCAGTTGATTGCTGCTCAGCAAGAACCTCCTACTTCCTTTGAGGAGAAGGTAGCCCAGGAGCGGAGCAGCAGCAACAGACAAATGGGAGCAGCAGTAACAGACAAATGAGAGCTCCGGCCTGGGTGGAAACATCGTTTTGTGCCTCACAATTTGTGCTGAAAAGCAGCGACTCGAAGCGAGGGCGATTACGGGACACCCACCGTGTAACCGCGACTCGGGCCATCCCAGGGCTCAGAGCCTTCCCAACAGGTCGGGTGTAGAAGGAGGCAGAAGACAGAGAACGAGGGGTTGAGGACAGAATCAGGGATGTTATCTTTTAGGCAGGGATTTTATTTGTTCTATTAACTGAAAATGTAATTTCATATTTTGAATATTATTTGCAGGCTTTAACCATAAGGACAAAAATATTTTTAAGTCCAAGAAAATGAAAATTTTATTTTACATTTTCATGGAAGTAAATCCCCCAGTTTTTAATAAATCAACTGTATTGTTCACATAAAGATGATGAACCCAGCCAAGTAATTCATTACATTTAAATAACTGAGACAAATTAAATAATAAAATTATTCTATTAATACATACATACCAAGCTTAGAAAAGCAGTTTTTAGTTGGACAGTGTTGTGCAAAACCTTTTGTGTTCATACCTTCCGTATCAGCAAAGCTGTGTCAGACAGAACAAATGTATGCCATATAATTTTGGACGATGAAACCTCTCCATATCCAAGCAGTTCTCCATGGAAAAATCAAATCTGCACCATGGCTGTTTCCACACCAAGCTCAGCTTTGCAACTCCAGTCATTTTTTAAATTCACGCCTCTTTAAAAGCAGTCAGTCAAAATAATTTGCTATCGCAGAGTCCCAATGCACAAAAGATACTGTAGAATAAAACAGCACTTGCAAACATCCCGACCCTCCTTCTTAAAAAAAAAAAAAAAAAAAAAAAAAAATGCTCTTGGATCCAGAAGTCACTGTCACGATGCCCATGTTATTTCAAGATAGAAACAGTATTTTCAGGCTGATTTCCGAGTAAGTGCAGGAGGAAGCGGAAGGCCGCGCTGATGCGGGCCGGGACGAAGAGGTAGGCGGCGTACGCGAGCGTCACGAGCGTGGCCACGTTCACCGTGTAGAAGAGCACCTTCTCCCAGGGCTCCATGAGGTAGCTGCACGTGATCAGCTCGTACTGGTAGTACAGCCAGTACAGATAGCTCGTCATGCGCTTGATACCCACCTTCATCTCGGAGCAGCTCCGGAGGCCGCCCAGGGGCAACAAAGGAGGGTTACTGGAATGATAAGCCTTATTGAAAACAAGAGAAAGCTTATTTAAAATATGTGTATATATATATAGCATTGACATGACAAAAGATCGTGACTTGCACAACTCATTATGATAACTTTTTAACTAAAGAAGCTGAAATAGTTACATGGCGTTCACTCAATTTGTATATAGTGACTATTTTCAGTAAATGATGCTTTAAAAACACAGAAGAGCTAAAATCCTAGGACCGCAAATATACTTTTAAAGCAAGAATGAGTCATTTTGCCCCTCCCATAAAAGACTTCATCTGTACTCCTTTTCCTACTATCAGTTCTGAATAAGACCATCAAATTTAGATCTCCATATCCAGGGTGATTTATGAACAAAACTGTAATACCTGTAATTCCACTTTTTCCAGAAATTCGTGACCCAGTAATCGTTGCCACTCCCTTCCCCAGCCCATTCTACTTCTTAACTTTGGCATGTGCTGGGTTATTTAAAAGTTGTTGAAGTGTCTTAATTCAAAGAGTGCATGTCCTCTCCTTCACCATTCATATAAACTTCAAGGGACAATTTGGCCAGAGGTCCAATTTTGATGACTTCAGACTGAATTTTGTGCCTTATGCATCAGTTGTTGCTAGAATACAGACTGAAGGGGCTGAGAGTACAACATATACAGAAAGACAATAAAGTGAAACTATATATTGATTATACAGCTCCTTCTGCAACAGAAATGAATGTGATTTGTTAAAAGACTAAGAAATTTGCATCTTCTATAAAGCTTTGTATTCAAATGATGCTAGAAATTATAATATTATGTTACCTAGCTACCAGAAGAATAAAGAACCAGAGAAGTAAAACAGGAGTATTTCAGTTACTGCTGCCTCCTGTCCTTTGGTAAGCAGGAGATGCATTTTATAAAGTAGATGGAAATTAAGATGGAATGGTGATCTCTCCTGTACTGTTGTAATTACAAAGTTAGAGCTCCTGGTAGTGTCAAGATCTGTGAAGAAATCTTAGGCTATGGAGATAAAAAAAAGACAACTTCACAGAGTTTAATGGAGTGGGATTTGATCCTAACTAAAGGATCAAGGTTTCAAGGTTTTAGAGAACTTCTTGTGTCAGCTTTTCCATTTCACAAAACATGTCTTCCCCATCCTTTATCTGATTGACAAATGAAGCGATCTAGGTATCTTCTATTATATCAGTCTCCTTCCTGAACATTTCATGCAGTTTTTACAAAACCCAGACTACACATAAGCCTCACATCAAATAAATTTATAGCCCTAATTATTTTGAGGAAAGACTTTTCCTACAAAAACTGTAGAGTTGATTTAAAAAAAACAACTTACCTCTTATCTTTGCCCAGATGGCCAAGTGTCTAGATGAGAGACGTCTGCTGAGACTCCTGCCTTTTGCAGCTGAACAGCTCCCCTGCTCATTGGGAAGAGGCAAGGATGAGCTTTGATCCCCAATTACAGAGCGTGGCCTCCGTACTCCACCCTCCTCCTCTCCCGAGCTAGGAACTCCTCTGGCCAGAGGCCACCGTGTTATGCAACAGGGACACCCATGGATGGCCCCATCCGAGCTCTCCTCACAGCGCTCACCGGGTAATTTGGGCACACTCAAAGCTAAGCACGACAGGTTGGGAGCAACATACGAAGCTAAAATACTACTTAGGAGGATGGGCAAGCAATTTTTCCAATTAGTGCCCTCTCTAATTCTGAGTCTCAAAGTAGAGAGATCCACTTCTGCAGGACTTCCCAACGCAGGTTGCTGCAGCTTCTCCAACGTGCAATTTAACGTCCCATGCAAAACACGCTGTCAGAGTTAGGCAGCCACAAAAGTGAAGAGCAATTAGTGTGTCACAGGGGAGTCTCGGGGAAGCCACCACCTCCTGCAACCTTTGATTAACATCACTTTCAAACACTCCTCTCTGTGGCTGCAGCGCCCAGCCCCATGCGCACACTTCAGTTACCCTGATCCAGGAAAACACTGGAGAGAACATGTGGAAAAGATCTGTGTGAGGCGAGTTTTTCTTAAAAAATGCCACAAAATAAAACCAAACCTCAACAAGTGCTTGAGACATTTTAATTGACCTAAATGGACAAGTAAACCAGGTAGAAATCTACATAATACACTATGTTGTAAACTACCTGCCTGAAGCCAAATCATTTCCAAATATGAATCAGCACCATTTGCAGAGAAAATGCCACAAGCAACATCTAAGGCGTCTCAGTCCCGCCTTCCTGCTTCCCTTCCCTGCCAAGCGCAGCCCGGACGACCTATTGCTAATCCTGACTTACTCCCTCAACACTTTTTCAGTGGCTGTTTTCAACAAAATACAGCTTTCTGCTCAGAAACTGCCCACTTGCCACAGAAAAGTCTGAAATGACAAAGCACTGCTCTGGCAGCAGTTGCTAACAGGCCCCAGGCCTTAAGTTTTTCTTCCAGAGCCTGGGGTCTGCCACAGGAAAACGTCTCCAGCGCTGGACAAGCTATTAAGGAGTTTATAGCCGGGCCCTAACCAAAGCAGAGAAGAGTTCACAAAATGTGAAATAGAAGTGCCATGAAATACTGCTGCAGGAGTCTTTATCTCCAGAGTTTCTATTTTCAGACACACTTTTTTTTCAGGTACATATTTCAGTGGAGTAGCTGGGGAAGAGAGGGAAAACTATTTGTTTCTTTTCATTTTTCATGGAAATGTGATAAAGAACACTGAAACAGTATCGTTGTTTTTATGCACAGGAGAAACAACTTCTGCATTACCGTAGTGCCTGCATTCCTGGCAGGGCAGCATCCCTCTGTTTTGATCACCTTCCTGCTGGGTGAATCACCTCATCTGCATCCTCAGCAAGCTGCACCGGCAGAACAGCGAGTAACCCCAGGCAGCGCTGTCACCTCTGTGCTCTCTGAATTCAGAAAAGGGGTTGCAAGAAAGCTAAGAAACGTTACCTAGGTCCTTCTGCCATTTCCACATGCAGAACAGTGAATTCCTGTAACTGAAGCAACGCAGGGAGCGAGACGTTAGGGCGAGCAGGAGCCACAGCCACCTGATGCTGCAGGGCCTCCTCTGCTCCACGCTTCCTGGGCAGCCACTCCTGCTGCCTTTCCCAGCTTCTGGCCCGGGGGAAAGAGGAACCCACAAATACCTTTCCGAATCCAGACCAGGTATGTACAGCTTCACTCGGAACACCAAACTTGCCCGAAATGCCCACCATTTAAGCCAGTTTGGCCCTATATGCTTTAAGACACTTCATCTCCTTCAAAGAAAAAAACAGAATAATTTTCAATATTAAAAAACAAACAAACAAAAAATCCAAAGACATACTGGATGTTTGGTAAAACACCGTGATAAATGACTGCAGGTGCAGGGCGAAACCATTGTCCTGTGGTTCAGGTGCAGGACAGGGCTTTTCCTGGAGAGCACACTGTTGGAGAGTGACCGTCCCTTGAACCTCTTTCACAGAGCTGTGTATCTGGAATCACAACTTATCTGTGCTCCAGGAAAGGCTTGCAGACTCACCGTATGCATCAACACAGATCGACATAAATCTGATAAAGGGGGACATGAGAAATGCAGCATAATGCTTCGAAAGCTTCACTGCTCCCCAAGTGGAATCAACAATTAGTCTTGCAGCTCCATAATTAGCAGCATCCAGTCCTGAGATTGCTTAATTGAGTGGTCCCTTGGGTTGCTGGTGAAACAGAAATCGGCAGAATATCAGACCGTGTCCCCCTTAGTATCTTGTTATGTACATTAAACAGACAGGACTCCCTTCCCAGTCCTACTTCCTTCCTTCTCAAATTGTATCAGTTTCTGAAAGAAGACTCCTCATGGACAGCGAGACATTGCAAGGAAAACATCCAGGCTACTCCTCAACAAGCTTCTTCTTCAACTGCCACATTGTCTTTCTGGATGTTGTTAGACCTCAATTGTCTCCATAAGGAGAGAAAATGAAGTGTTGTTTTCTATTATCTTGTCCCTAATAATGGCATCTTCTGATGTCCGGTAAGGTGTAAACCTACAGGGAAGCATCTGCTTTGCTTTTGACATTCATAAAGGTTGTCTTCCATGTGGCTTCTCCGCTGTCTAGTACGGGCTATGTACAATGCCATTTTTCCTTCAATGAGGATCATCTCTCATCCTCTCTCTTTTGACAAAATTTGGCATTTTTTAAGAGCAGTATTTTGTTTTTGAATTTCACTGAAATTTGTCATGGGTTAAAAATAAAACCAGGTATGCAGGAGAACAGGGAGACACTTAAGCCTCATTTCCTTAAAAGATCAGGCTAAAAATGCCTAAAATCTCCCTGCTTCACACACAGATAGTCCTACCTCATCACACAGCTGCAGGTGCTGGTGGAGGGTATGGGATGAAGACACCTGACAAGGGAACAGACAGAGTGGGAGGTGAAGCAGGATGAGGGCAGCCCAGGCAAAGATGAGCTCAACCTGCTAAGAAACCACATCACTGGATAAGGAATCTTTTCCCAAACAGTGCTGTGGCCTCCTCTGCGAAGGTCTGCTTCCTTCCTGAAGATCTGCAATCACTGATAATCATCCTACATCCTAAAGGCATGTGAGCACCAGCTTCATAACCCCACAACAAGGAGCAGCTTGTACACCGAATTCTTAGCTTGACCTGCCAGTAAAACAAAGCTGCATCAAAGAACCTACAAAACACACAAAAAACTGCCCCACAGTGTATAGCAATTCACTCACAATCCATAGAAAAGCTCTCTCTGCATGGTGTGAAGTATGTGGCATGTGATCCACAAGTCCTAACAGCAGACAGGTTTATCTGGAGTGGCACCGCACACGGGGTAGGGCTGTAAGACACGTACAGAAACACAGTATGGATGAGGAATGTATCTTGAGCAACGTATCTTGGCTCAACCTATAGGCTCTTGACTTACTCACATCTGTAATGCAAATAACCTCTTTTAATTATTACGTTGCTGCCTGCATGAATCACACGATTTCCTGGCATGCTTCTTCGTACCTGGTTAGACAGGTTCAAGAATCTTTTTAATTCTACATCAAGACAGATAATTAAGTTAGTGAAAATCACTGAGACTAATGATCTCCGGGTGCATGAGGAGCATGCAGAGTTGGCACAGAAGCTTTAAACACAAGCTAATCCAACAGGAAGAAAGATGATATAATACCATTTTATATGTCAGGAGTTGCATAGAAGTAGTACTACTGAGTGTGTCTGTTGTGCTGAAACGAACACAGATCTTCCCTACATTGCAATTGCTTCTTACCTCTCTATGCAGGTCACTTGCCCTCCACATGCGTGTTTTATTTAGCTACCACTGATATACTAAAATCCAGTGGAACACCAGCAAACCGGATTGTTTCACCGGAGAGGGCCAGGGTCTCTTCTCTAAGTGTGGTTCACACTCCACACATTTTCCAATCTCAGAAAGCAGCTTCAGGCTGTATTACCTGAGTTCTTCTTTCTTCACCTCGCAGCTTTTCAGTTCCCTTTCATAGCTATGGTCAGAGACTTTAAGAATAGAAATCGTAAGGAAACAGCATGTTCCCACATTGAGCAATAAGGCTGCTTTTTCCTCTCTCACAGCTTCTCATAACGGGTTACTTTTCCCTGGTGTTGCTCAAGCCATAGTACCATTCAACAAGTAACTCTGAATCCTCTCTGTCACTCTGCACTTTTGTGTGGGCTCCATTATTTTATAGCAGATGTTTCTAAATGCTTTTTGATTCCTTCGAAACTAGATAATTAGCGACTTCATTAACTACTTTTGGCTGCTGTTATATGGGATGCATATATATCTTATTATCACCCTTTACAAACTAATCCCCCATTTCAATAGTTCCGTATTTGCAAGTGTTATGTCCTGGCTTCCAACAGATTTGAATCTCTCAAGACTGATAAAAACAGAGGAAATATGAAAGCCTTTGAGTTTCCTGAAGAATGTCCTATCATGAGTATAATTTATAGCAAAAGGGTTTTAACTAACCCACTTCTGAAGAGTCACTGTCACAAAGAAAAATATGGTATTTCGGACAGTTAAATTAGAAATGTAGAGGCAAACATACAAACATTACCCTGGAAGTTAAATAATCAGTCCAGATCACAAATCATTATTATTATGTCTGTAGTAATACATTCCACTTACAGGGTAAAGTGAGTCGGTGGCTTCATGATGTAGGTCCATGGGGATTAGTATAAACAATCACTTATCAAACTCTCTTCTCCAGGTTACAACTTTTCCATGTAGCCCAGTTCTTATCTGCCTCTACGATAGTTCTGCTTATCCAACGCTTCTTCCATTAAGCAATTCCAGCCCTACAGTCACAAAAACTTACAGGTAGTAAGTTACAGATAACAGAGCCTCTTGCTCTATTAACTCCCAGATAAACCCCTTCTCTACCACCCTCCTCTTTCTCTACCACAACCCCTGCCTCTCTGTTTTTTACTGACAGACACACTTTCTACTGCATGATTCTCTTGTTCTCCCACCATCTTCTATTTCTAACAGTACTAGGAGCCATGGATAGGCATGAGATACAAACAAAACAGGATAATTAGTACTGACGGAACAAAAAAAATTGTCAGGTGTTAGTCTGATTTTTAGATCATAAAGATCCTAAAATCTAAGCATGTAAAAAATATTTTTAGCTGCATCCTTAGAGATAACAAAAGTAGAAGCATACATAAACATAGCTCTACTGGAGAACACTGAATACCTTTTCATATCCAATATGGGTGTGAATTTTGTTTTTTCCTTGTAAGGATATCAGGACACCTCTAATTTAGCAACAATTACCTTTTAACTCAATTTGAGGCGTAAGATTATCTATTATTTTGATTGTTTCCTAATTTATTTTAAATGTATTTATCATCTGTCTTTTATTTGGAGAAGACTGTTTACTGTACAGAATTAAGTGTTTTAAAAATATACAAAGAGGACTAGAAATTCTGCAAAGTAGCATATTTCTTTTAATTCAAGCACATTATATTAAAGTTTAGATCACATCATCAGTGCAAAACTTCATCTTATGAAATAACAGGAGATTAGCTCATATAAAATGTTTCAAATGAAAATGAAATTTAGAAATCTTTTCCATTCGGGAGCATAGTTCACATATGTCTGCCGTTTCACATTGCAAACTTCTGCTCAGTTCCATTCTTCCAAGTTCATAATGGAGTTCTCGTATTTTTATGAGGCATTTCCAACTTAAAGCAACACAGTCCTAAGAGACTCTCACACACTTAGAGGCTTTCTCCTCCCTGTTGTTCCACATTCATTTCGTTGTTAGATCCTGGGAAAAAACGTGTTTTTACTCTTCGGCCCCTTGCATTTGCAGGGTTCACCAGAGGACATCAAGACCAAAAGGAATAATAGAGAGGGAGAGCCAGGCTGAAACAGTTCATCATTCCCCAGCGTAGAGTAGGAGGTTCTGCCCACTCCTGCCAGATCCTACCCTTTTGTCTCAAGCCAAACAGCTACCGAAGACAACAAAAGTAAAATCAGTTTTAACAGGCACTGAGTGAGAGCAGTTGCACGGAGCTTACCAACAGCTGCATGTCCAAAAGGTCATCATCTGGTAATGAGAAACTTCTTTGCACTTAGAAGAGATGACAGACTTCGAGTCTTTCTGGGAGGTTGTAAAAGAATTTGGAATTGATTAATAATAATAAAAAAAGAAGCAGGGGGAAATAAGCAAACATAGCTGAAGCAGTTCTCAAGAATTTGATGTTGTTTCAGATGCAAAGCAAATATAAAGGGAAAAGCTGCCTAAAATGAGCTTAAAATATGGAGTTATACAGATATGAAACTGTAACTGAGTTGCAGAGCTGAATTCCCAGTGTGAGGCTATTAGTCACCGGGAGTTCTCCTGAGACAAAGGTGCTGAGTCCTTCGTCTCCATGTTCATGATTCCCCTAGGATTCATGTGTGTCTTACTTATCTTTGAACCTTACCTATGAGGGTATAATCTTCTCTATGACTTTATCATAGTTTGGCCAGATTGCCAATCGTGCTATTCACAGTTTCGCATAACATATTAACCAGTTATCCCCACCACTGGTCAAAAAAAACCCCCAGCTCTGTTGTGTGCAGAAAGACAGAAAGCAAAATACAAACTCATTATAGAAAAAATACCTTGATACTGATAGAGTGAGAGCTTACAGTGAATGCACAGCCATGCTATACTCTAGAGTATAACAGGATCAAAACCCTAATTTGGAAAACAGCTGATATTTCAGTTCTGGATTACTTTGGGGATGAGTGGCTTGTCTTCTATGGTGCTGACAACAGAATATTCATTTTGTCTTCTCTGCCTCACAGTTCGTTTTTGGCAGGATTTTTCTAATATTGTTCTCTAATTTCAATGATCATTGTGGAATTTTACATTAGACTAGGTACCTTGCTGACTTTCAGTATATGTTATATGAAGAACAGACTAAAAAAGTTAAGACTCCTTCACTAAGAAATTTAATTTGGCTTTTTGTAGAGAAATAGCAATAGCTCTTTATTTTAACTGTGTTTTTTACCTGCATAGAGCAAATTATAAGCACATGAACGATCATGTTTTTCAGAACAAGCATAGTTCTGTCAAATACTATGGAATAATTTATCAGCACGTGACTTTTCATAAGGAAAACATCCTCAATAGGATTGCTTGTACTGTCAATTATCGAAAATTGTACTTAATTAGCCTATTTGTCAGGTATGCAGGAAATTACAGTGAACGCCCTACTAAAAGTGACACCACAGTAGAGTGGCACAGAACGGAAATTGGGGACTCTCCATTAACTCTCTTCTGCACAATGCTCTCCTCTTGCTTTTTCTCTCATCCTCATTCAGATCAGAATTATAGGCACCTCTGCTTGGATAATGTTTTGAAATGTTTACACAATTCAATAGTGTACCTCACTGAAATTTCACCTTTAATTAAGGGCTCTGAAGCTGATGCCTGTGTCTTCCTGCAACAGCAGAGCCTAGATAAATGAAAAATACAGCAGCAAGTGCAAACTTCAGTTTCCTGCCAACAAATACAGTTATCTCCCACGTGTGCATGGTGCAGACAGCTTCTGTATATAGGCTCCAGGTGGCAATGGCTGCGGCCGGGACATGCTCCGCTGACACTCTGTCACTCTTCCAGGAAGACACTCAGCTGCCTGATCCTGTCAGAGACACTGAGGGAATTCCAGAGACTTTGTGACTTATCCTAGTAGCAAAAACAAGAAACAGAGTTTTTTAGCAGGTGACCCTTCTTTTAAAAGTCATTTTACTGTGAAACCTGCCCTCATCTAATGCTGACACCACAGGGCACAGCACATTGGAGTATGTAAAAGCACGCCCCGTTTATGGAGCATCTGCTGGTGTGTATGGACATTAAAAGGAAAACAATTTGCTCACTTCTCTCTCGAAAGAAAATCCCTCCTGCTATATAAAAGAAAAGTAGTTATCAAAACAGATGCCCCTTTCAGAGCAAGGATAATGAATTATCACTCACAACCTCTCATTGTTATTTAACTTCACTGTCAGTTTAAAGTCTACCTAAAGCTCTTACCACCCTAAAGAAACATTTTTAAAAAAAACTTCACTGGATAATTCAGCAAAGAATAACTCAAAATCCAGACACAGTCTGGGGATAAGGTCTTGCTCAGTGAAATAGTCTTGCTGGTTCTCAGAGGAGGGAGGGATGTCATTCTTCTGTGTGAGGCAGGATCTCTTGGTCCTTACCTCGCAAAGGGGCAAGCTGCAGTCATTAACTGTCCATTGCCACAAAATAAACTCAACACAAGAGGGGGGAAAAAGATAACGCTGCATCATCTCCTCAGCCTCCTCACCAGCCAAGACCTATCTTCCCACCTCCCACCGGCCCACCGCCATTTTGTTACTCTCTCCACCCGCCATTTCCTTGAGCTCCCCTCCTGCCCCTCGCCATTTTCTCAACCTGCCTGTGGCCACCTTTGGCCTCAGTGTGTCTCTCCCGCTGCCCTCTGTCTCCATAGCCGGGCTGTGGTGCCGACAAGCAGCTCCCATCCCTACCAGATAACCTATAGGGATATCCCCCCGACTTCCACAGCTCCTTGAAGCCGCCGGCCCAAGGATCGCTCCAGGCTTCGTAGCCGCAGGAGCCGCGTGCGCGGCCGGTGCCTACAAGTCCCAGGAGTCCCCGCGGCACCGAGCCTCGAGGGGCTAGCAAGAGGCACCGCAAAGACTGATGGGGCTTGTAGTCTCGGGGAATGCCCGGGAAAAGGGCTCCGGAATTAACACCTAAGCGAAGAAACAGAGGAAAAGCATTCAGAATCGCCAAAAAATAAACGTATGATTTGTGTTTGCATTAAAAGTAAAAATAAGCTAATCTTGGATAAGATCTTAATATAGCATTAGGGTTTCACCTCAGAAAGGTGAAGGCAGCTTTCACCAAAAAAATCGTAAACTGTTGCACAAAGCCAGGTCTTTATGAAGCCTTTTTAAAATAAATATCCTTTCTTTTAATACAGGTCAGGGAAAGGAAATTCAAGGAATGTGTCTGGATGTGTTTTATACCTCAGCATGGCTAAACTACAGGAACACTTAGGTAAGTATATGTTGTAATTGTTGGTAATAAAAAAAGCCAGGGATTTCAGGCCTACAGGTGTTCTCGGTTATGAAGCTTTCTCTTTATGACAAAATTAATGCTGCTAAAAAGAGACATATTTTCCTGGAACTCATATTTTGGGATGATATTTTGTTATTTTGTTTTGTTTTCTACAACTTCAAATTAAAAGCTTTATTTTTTCAAAAATGGGGTGAGATTATTTCATTAGATTACAGTCCTAGCCTGTAGATACCACGTGCCCATCTCGACACTCACTCTAAATGGTGAATAATGAGATGATGAGGTATTTAAGCTTGCATCTTACTTCACGTTATGCTGGAAATGCAACTTTTTCTAAGATAGAAATTATTGTTACTTATATGAGACTCTGACAGGGTGTAACTTCCTGGAACAACTTACTATGTCTGATTTCCGATGGAGTAACAAGACAATTATTCCAGGGAGTTGGCAACATCCCGAGGCCAACAACAACCCTTAGAGTATTTCAGGTCACAGCATGGCATCCTCTCCTCTTTTTTTTTTTTTTTTTTTTTTGGGCAACATTTCAGTGTTACCACATACCTGCTGAGTAATAATGAAATTAGCTATGAGGAGGGAAAATTCCCACCTAATAAAATCTAATCAGATTCATGCATTTTCTCTGTTCTTCGGGTAATTAAAAGTATTAAGAGGAAAAATTAGCATTTGCCTTTTGTAAGGAATCCCTTGAAAAGGCAGATTTGAGAACGTTCGGTCTATGCTGGCTGTGACAAAACGGTCTCAAGGGAATTACCGTAGTGGGAAGTATTACACTTTTCTCTTTAATAACTTTAAGAAGAAACTGATGTTTAAATGTGTCTTTAAAGATTTTTTTTCCTTTCTGCCTAGGCACAAGTATTGTTCCTGCAATAAAATTTGCTAGTATTTTTCTCAGTTTTTGAGCTTAACCTTGTTTAATTTTGTAGGAGACAATTGTGCTTTATCATGGTTCCTTTCTTACCTTGTCAAACTTTAGGCAGAGCTGTGCTTTGGTGTGCAAAATTTTGCTCAGGTGAATGGTCCCCTCAGGGAAATGTACTACGTTGTTACAAACATGGACAAGAATAATTTGGCAGGGACAGGGATCAAATAAAATTTGCAAAGATATTTAACGCTTAACTCCCAAATGACTTTAATAGGTTTTAGATGTCCACATAGCTTTGAGCTATATAGTTAAATATTACTCCATACGGTATTGGAGTAGAAATGACTGTACATTTCTATATAATAAAGTGCTACATGGTATTGGAATAGAAATGACTGTACATTTGAGTACTTAATCTCCTTTATTGAAATTTTAATTGGTAAAATTCTCCTATTGGATTTGAACATACGGTATAAAAACTTTGTAGGAAACTATGCAAGGGGAAAGAATAGGCAAAAATTCATCCAAGGAATAAATTTCTTGTCTCCAGAAGTTCACATCAGTAAGTCGCTAAATGCTTTATCCAAAACCAATCTCAAGAACGTCTTTATAAAATGTCATCAAATTAAAACTATTTATAATTCTATTTATACTGTATTTTCTTTTATCATAACACTTTTAAAGTTACATTTTAATCTTTAAATAATTAAAACTGTGGGTAGGAACAATATTGTATGCACTTCTGAAAGGAAAAAAAAAATGTGCAGATTACAAATAATAATAGAAAGTTGTCCAAAAGTTTATCTTCAACTGCCTAACAGACTATCACAGACTGCCTCTTGGCTGCTGTTCACATGAAAGAAGATGGTTTTCAATGAATATACAGAAATTTAATCTGCAGTAAGAAAGGAGAGAAGACAGTCCAAGGCTCAGGAAATCATTTACTTTGTTAATTGCTGAGTGCTAGAACTATAGCAGTGAACATCCTAACACTAGCATGAAAATGAGAGGTAGGGATAAGGAAATGAAAGTCTAGTAAATGCACTGCTAGCAAGGAAAGCCTGACAGAAACGAGCCAAACTTGCAGTATCTTGGCATGTCATCTACTTGACAAGGAGATTTGTCACATGTGAAGTGGACCATTAGTAATGCTGCAAATAACAAAGAGAGATTTGCATTTTTCCAGAGCTTAAAGAATCACTCATTGTTTCCTATAAAAATACGGAGAGCAACATCCAGACGCACTCAGGCCCCTGGATCCTGCCTCTTGTGCCTGTCACCCGAGGGCGCAGGGCTCGGGCTTACGGCAGCAGCACGGAGACCTCTGCGCGGAGGCGCCTGCGCCCTCGCTTTGATCTCCATCCCCGCTGCCCTGAGCAGCTTCCAAGAGCCGAGCACCACGAGGCTGCAGCCGCCTGCGAGACGCCAGCGCGCCGGGCTCACCCGGGCACCCCAGGGACACCCCGTTCACGGCGCTGCTGTCAAGCCGCGGGCCATGGCACGGCCTCCGCGTGTTGTACAACGGGCTGGTCGCCGTCAGCAGCGCCTGTCATCGCCTCCAGCCCCGCCTGCTGCGCAGCCCAAGGGTGGCCTGTCACCTTCGCCTCTTGCAGTCCAAGGGTGGCCTGTCACCTTTGCCTCTTGCAGCGCTGAAGAGGCTCTGCACGGCACACACACCAAGGGTGCAAACAAACCCTGTCTGCTGCAGCCCGTCGGTATAAGAAACGCGCCTCAGGATGGGCAGCTACCGAGCAGAAGTGGCTTAATGGTAGAATTAATCCTGCTTTTTAGAAAAGAAGTGTGCAGACAAAACAGCTTCTGCTTTAAGACATTCATATTGCCTCATCGAAGATAGATATGGGCCACAAGCAGAGAGTGTTCTTCTTTGTGCAGAATTCTATGTCAAATTTACTTTCTACTGAAGTTCGTGAAGGTGAATAGCCTTGTTTTCAGGTCTCATTAGGATGAAGGGAAATTATTGCTGGATTGAAATTAATGTCCTAAGTGACAGAGAAGACTTTCATGTATGAGAGAATTGGCCTGGAAACTGCACAGAATTCAGTGATTTATGCTCAAACTTAATTACCCTAGCCAGAGGACTAGAAGCTTTTTTTTTTTTTTTAATGCTAAAATGTATGAACAATATGTAAATTTTCTACAGATATTCCAAATAGACAGAAATAGTCTCCCTTCTGTTCACATTAATTTCTCTAACTCTTCCTCCTATCTTTCTGTATTAGAAGATAAGTAAAACTAGAAGCCTCAAATTCATCCTAAGTCCTTATACTCTGCTTTTCTGTGGGACAGATTTACTGTTCTGCAGGACATGTGAGTTTGAAACGTTCCTGTAGCTTTCAGTTTAGTGAGCTCTGACCATCCATACTTACCAGTAGACTCTAACAAAAAACTTGTTCCACCTTATATTTTATTCTTTTGATGACTGAGTCACAAAATTGATTAACTGTGAATGAGCATTTGAGGTAAAATTTTCTTTTCTATATTTTTTATGAGAAAACAAGTCTGCATTTCTACGCCAAAATGATCTGCGATGTTGCTTCTTTACTTATATTATTTTGACAGAGGTTCAGACATTTTCCTGAATATGAATTTGTTTATTTAGACTCTGTTTTTTTACATGTTCTAGTTTCTTTAGGACTTTGCTGTAAGAAATCATGAATTTATTTTCAGTGTTATTCCCAAATCACAGCTAGCAAAAAAAAAAAAATCTAAAGGAGAATTAAAACTATTCCAGAATTACATGAGGAGAAAGGAAGCTAAATGTTTCACTATCTTGTAATTACAAAAACATACCTTGCAATGCCGAAGCAGCCTGTGTGCCTGCTCTTGCACACCGTGCTCACACGCATGCACACAAGTGGCAGAATAGAACATATGGTACTACAGGTACAATAATGTTAATGGGGGCATTTCTAACATTAGACAATTTTTACTTGTCAGCTTTGACAGTAAATATAAAATACTGCTTTGTGTGCATTTTCTCAGGTTACTGTTACACTTAGGAAACTATTTTACACTCTTTTAAGGAGTTCACGAGTGGGTCAGCAAGGAAGTCAGCACTTCCAGACACGCAGTGCAGACCTCCACCAGCACTACCAGGTGAATGCTTTCTTCTTCTGGTTCACTCTAATTTAATCCTCCTTCAAATTATGCTTGGTTGCTTCTCACCTAAGGCAGGTCTGCCTTTGCTCCCTGGATGCCCCTTCATAATTACAAGCCTTAAAAGCTGTGGGTCTTGGACTGAGAAAGTAATTTTTAACACAGTTTTCTTTCTATCCTTCTCTTACTAATACCTATTTGTCAATGTAAATTTTTCAGGTTTACTGTTGATGTAAAAGTATCTTCTTTTACACACACCTAAATTCATGGTTAATAACATAAATGTAGTGACTGGCTTAAAAAGACTGTTTTCAAAATTATAAAAGGCTTTTATCCCGTCTTTTGATGTGATATTAAATGAGGATATTTTCAGCTCTGGAGGAATGAGGTATTGCTACTTCATACAGGAGCTCACAGTCTAAATTAATCAAGAAGGGAAGAACAGCTTTTATTGGCAAATGCAGGCAGGATCTTCAAATGGTAGATAACCTCAGGTCAGCGGCAAGTCCCATCTGAGAAGAGAAGGAAACTGGAGATTCGCTAATGCAAGATTGTATTTACTATTAACCTTTGCAGTGTAACTAAATAGAAATATTTCCCAGCAGAAATTAATACCCAGTTTAGCTTTTGAATCTTCCTGGATTTCCAAACCACGTTCAATTACCTCTTTAATTCTTCCCTCGTACACAGAGCTTTATGACCTTCCCACCTATCAAAGCACCATAAAAATAGAACTCTGCCCCTCCAGAGAAACCTCGTTTCAAGACTTCACAGACTTACTATTAAAGCCCATTTCACGTTTCGTAAATTTTTATAACAGACATTTGTCCCTGGCTTACTTTTCTATCTCAATGACATAGCAGGTCTTTTTTTAAAGATAAATTAAATCTTTTTAGCCCATTTTCCTTATTCTAGGTGCAACCCTAGAGACTTCTGTAGAATATTGCTTCAGGGTTAAAGAAAAAGCAAGCTTTGAATACAAAGGGCAAGGTGATCCAGAATTTGTAATCCCTACTTACATGTTTGCTAATCAGAATGTAATAGTTACTGACCTCCTGCCTGTCTAGACTTTCAGTAATTATGCTTATGTATGAAGGATATTTATCCATAAGCTCTTTGCTTTAAATGCCTAGAGAAAGGAGGAGCTCCAGGACATAAAATATCCATCTCAATTCAGATTCTGTCCCCGATTCTAACAGAATGGTGATGAATTTGGCAGAGATTTAGAGGCTGTTAAATGATACCAGTGTGTGTTTCCACGAGTCATTAAGAAATCTGCATTTCTAGGAAGAGATCGGGTTCTGCTTCTAGTCAGATCCATATACGACAGTTCATTCAGTGTGGGATCTTTTGGTTTTCTTTTGAATTCATCTAATTTAAAAGATCGCCAGAGCAACAGCTTTTCACCACTACCACCACCAAAAAGTGGGTTCTGTAATTTTCAAAACTTTAAA